GCAGGATTTGTATCACATCTTCTGAGATACTGCATCTCACGGCTACCTGTGCATCTTGTGCTGGGGATACAGGAGAGCTTCTAAAGGATGTCACAGTGTTACTGAACGTCACAAAAGTCTGTGTAACTACAGTCCTGTGTGAAGAAATGGTGGGTCTCTGCAGCTAATAGCTGCTGTGGCCCTGAGGTGAAGGCTCTGTGCATAGTAACCCGTAGGGCTTTAAGCAGAGGTGTCAGTGCCTGTCTTAGCTCTGTGCTTGCAGAGAAGCTGAGCCTTGGAGGCTACAGGGCAGACCCTTTAGCCCCATTAGAACATTTTAAAATATTCATCAATAATTTTTAAATGGTAATCTTTAAGCAGAAAAAAAGATTGCAGTATTTGCTTTAAATCACATCCATATTTCAAATGCAGCAAAGTGCGGGAGGCAGAGAGATCTGTCAGCTTCCCTCCAGCTCCAAGCACTGTCCAGCAAATTCCCTTCATGTCTGCATCCAGCCAGAAAAGGCCAGCGCGGTGCTGTTTTGTGATTGGATTCCTATTTTTCTAGAATTGGTCCATTTTCCTCTCTGATACTTATTGCTTTCCAAACAAAGCCAAAGTAACCAGCAGCATTTTCTGCTAACACAGTCCTAGAGCACTCTTCCTTCTCCTCCTCCTCTTACTCCTCCTCTTATTCCTCCTCCTCCTCTCATGGCTCCTTTGCAGCCCCCACCTGTACCAGACTGCATTATCCCAGCCCTCTCCTCCTTGAAGAAGCTGCCAGTAGTAGCAATACCATAAAATCAGCAAATATCTATGTGCCAGAGAATAAATTTAAGACTCTGTAAACACATTTTTGTGTGACTTAATCTATTTTTAAGCCCACTTAAGGACTCCCACTAATGCTATATATTAAACCTCTTTGCTGTCTCCAGAATGCATTTCACTGACTGGCTGGCATCTGGCATTAGCCATTCAGGAAAAACTCAGAGTAAGCAATTGTAGCTTTTTTAGGTCAGCACTTAAGGTGCAGGAGCTGCTGATATCAGCAAGAGGAAAGCTTGAATCCTGATAGATCACAGGGCTTTTTTCTATGACCTGAACACCAGGACTACAGGGTAACATCTTACTGGCTCTGCATGGCTCACTGAATGGCAGCACAGGGAAAACCAGTGTAAATCACACTGGGCAGTTATCAGCTTAGCAAAGAAGCTGGAAATATTTTGCAAAAACTAGGAAAAAAGATTTTTTTTCTCCCCCATACTGAGCTGTCTGCGGGTTCCCTTTCAAAGCCACATCATGCAGTAACATCAAGAAAAGGCATCTGATTCAGAGCCAAATGCCTTTTACTGAGAAGACTAAGATATCTATTTAAAAAAAAACCAAACAAACCTCTGAATTCATTAATTATTCTGAGCAATGTGAGAGAGGATTAGAGAATACACATGTTCCCTTATGACTTTCTGAGCCACCTCAGCCTCATGTCTGTTCCTGGAAGCTGCAGTATCGCATCGTACAGATCAGTATCGTGCCATACAGCTCGCTCTGTCTTTGTCTGAACTGAGCGAATTGAAAATCAGCTAGGAGAAGCAAAGCCAGTGCTGAGATTCTCCCTATTTGAATATAAAATGTTGCTTAACTAGAGAGGAAAATAATTTGCATGATGATAAAAAACACACTTGTGAGCTGTTTTGCCCTACTGACCAGTAGCAGACAGATGGGTGGGACTGGGAGAAGGCAGAGGAGGAGGTTTGCAGCAAGGTAGCGCTTGCCCATAGTTCATCAGTGCAAATTTCAGCCTCCTAATTCAAAGGGAAGGGCACCCTCGACCTTGCTGCAAAGCAAAAATAGCTCAGCAGACAGTCAGCAAAGTTGAAGCCTGCATCTCTCCAGCTGCTGCCGCCTTTGGGAGCGGATGAAGAGGTTTCTGACAATATTATGTCAACAAAGCACCATCTAGTGGTTATGGCACCCAGGGCTTCCCCGCCCAGCGAGCAGCAGCTCGCCATGGGGAGACGCCAATAAAGCCCACGCCAGCCCTGTGTCCAGGAAAGCTGAGTCTGTGGAGGAGGCTGCTCCCCAGACCTGCAGATTTCTTCGGTGTGAAATGCTGCAGTTATTGCCTCTTGCCTGTGCCTCCTTAGTTGACTCGTTGTCTTCCCATTCTTCTGTCTATGGTGGCTGCAGGCAGGGTAAAGGTGCTCGGTGGGCAGAGGGCCTGCAGGTTTGGGGCAGCAGGCTTGTGCAGGTGGGTGCAGATGAGTTTGGGTCGGGTAGCTCAGGCAAGGAGCATCCTGCAGTGCCAAGATGACTCTGCCATATCTGAAGTCCTGTGTTACAGTCCCAGCTTAGGCTGCTCTTACCTCGTGCTGTATGTTTTTATCACCACAGACTAAGCACATTGAAAAGACTTAGCAGATTTGATGTCTGCAGCCTTGACTCAAACCTTTGGCCTCTGCCCTGCTCAAGGAGAGGAGGCAGCTTGGGATGGGCACCCCAATTCCTTCATTAGCTGCTGTCTTCTCACTGCTGGGGCTTTACTACTCCCTGCAAGGGTGAGAGCAGTGCTAGGGTTGGGCAGCCAGCTGCCCCAGAGTACCCTGCACACCAGCCACCCCAGCAGCACTGGCTCCTGCCTTAGGACCTGCTTTGGGTCCAGATCTGCTCAGTGACACAGGTGAGCTAAGCCAAGGTGAACCGAGAGAGCATCAATGCATCCCTCTTCCCTTAGCACACCCTGATCTCAGTCTCGCAGCAAACCAGGTATTGGCAAAATGGAGTTCCAGGCAGCCAGAGGATTTCCCAAATCCCAAGCACCCATTTGGCTGGACCACCCTGGGTTATCAGTCCTATGCCACCCTGTTCCAGTGTGACAGCACAGCTGGAGCCCTGGGCTCTGAGCAGAACGGACGCGCTGCCGTTCCTCAGGGATCTGCGCCAGGGTCAGATCTCAGACTGCACATTAGTGCTGTTTAAACCTAAGAGTTCTCCAGAAAGTAGGTGCCAGCCCTAAGCGCCTCCCAAGTGCTAAGCACATCACTGGGTTATCATAAACTGTTATAAATGCTTATCCCAGTGGTAGGGATTTAGTCAGCACATGCTTCATCTTTCCTGGTCCCTGAGCTAGGTGTCCAGGGACAGCGGCTGGCAAGCTGCAGCCCCGTGGCTGGAGATGAAAGGTGCCTCTGAAGTTCTTCAAAGCAATTTATTAGACAGTGGTGCATCCCCTCCAGCCCTGGCCATCCTGTCACACCCCAGGCTGGCAGCACCCACGCCTTTGGCACGTTCAGAGCCTGGCATTGTCCCTGCTTCAGGTTTGAACCCCCAGGTGTGACATGGGGAAGAAGTCTGTTACTTGGTTTCTTGCTGTGTGGTTGACAGCTGAGACTTTGAAGCTGGTTAGCAAGTGATGGATGATGGCATCTGACAGGCAAAGCTGATGGGTGGCAGTGTTTTCCAGCAGATGCATTTATCTGGCAGGGCAGAGACACCCTGTGCTGCAACTGATTTCTTTTACTGTGCCAAAGGAGGAAGAGAGAGCGGGATTAAAGGACTTGCTGGAGTCCTGCTTATGTAATTCAAAAAAATAGGAATCCTGACTTCCAATAAAGAAAATTCATAAATATTTGAGTTTATGTTGGAGCATAAAATAGCCTGTCAGCATCAAAACTGTGGCTGTCAGCATGGAGGAGTTTTATTCTTCCTGGCAAGGACTTAGGAGTTGCTAACAGGGTGTCCTAGACCGTTGTGAGCTATAGGAACAAGCAGTTAGTCCCAACCCATGTCTTTATCTGCCTGAAGTGTTTCACTCCAGCCTTGGCATGCCCAGAAGAAATCAATGTTTGATTTTCAAAACCATTCACGCTGCTGTCGACCTTCAATTGCTCCCTCCTGTTGCGAGTTCGCTGTTGGCTTTGCCTTGCGAAATAGTCATTAGCGCGTGAAACCCCCCGGTCTCGCCTGACTCAAGAACTGTTTTGCCCCATATCCGCTAACTTTGGGCTTTATCTGATGGGCTTTGAAGCAGTGCCTTACTGAAGGCTGGTAGGAAGTCACAGGTATGGAGCAGTAAGTTGTGTTTACACTGCTGGTTGTTACAGAACCACCTTCAAGGGACTTTAGGGAGCTTTTTAGTGAGGTTCTGCCTGCTAGTACATACAACTGAGTTGTTCTGCTTATCAGAAAGCTGCATCTGTGAGCCCCGGTTGTGGTGTGTGAGCTGCCTGTCAGAGGTTGCCTTGGTCTCTGTGAGTAATGTGTGGAGACCCTTACTAACAGTGGCTCAAAAAGAGGGTACAGAGACCTGAGCAGCTCTGCTCAGTGACAAAAACTGCACAGGCTTGGTCTGAGCATTAGGAAAATTTCTGCAGGAGGATAGCGCAGTTTGGGACGGGTCTCCAGAGGGTGGTGGATATCCATCTTGAAGGTTTTGCAGCTGGGCCTGACCCCTTCAAGGGTTGGCAGCAATCCTGCTGCGAGCAGGAGCTAGGACCAGGGACCCCTTCCACCACCCCACTGCCATTCTCTGATTGCCCTCATGTTTCTTGCAGGAAGAAGAAGGAGAGGATGCAGATATCTCTTCTGGTCCCTCAGTCATTAGCCACAAGATGCCTTCCGCCCAAGCCTTTCATCACTTTGCTCCTCGTTACTCTGAGATGGGCTGCGCTGGGATGCAGATGAGAGATGCCCACGAAGAAAACCCAGAAAGCATCCTCGATGAACATGTACAGCGTGTGATGAAAACACCAGGCTGCCAGTCTCCAGGTCCTGGCCGCCACTCGCCTAAGCCACGGTCCCCAGAAAGCGGCCACTTAGGAAAGCTTTCAGGGACACTTGGAACAATTCCTCCAGGGCACAGCAAACATGCAACTAAATCAGGAATGAAACTGGATACAGCTAACTTATACCACCATAAACACATCTACCACCACATCCATCACCACAGTGTGATGAAACCAAAAGAGCAGATCGAGGCCGAGGCCACGCAGCGAGTGCAGAACAGCTTTGCTTGGAATGTAGATTCACATAACTATGCAACAAAGTCACGAAACTACACTGAAAACTTGGGCATGGCACCTCTCCCCATGGACTCTTTAGGCTACAGGTAAGTCAAGGCAACACCCAACGGGAATCCCAGAGCCGTGGCTTCTCAATGAATCTCTCTGATAAAGGGGCTGTAGCGTGCTGGTGAAACAGGGTGGCTGAACCACATTTTCTTGTGAAAGCCCATGCTGGGATATGATTTGAGGGCCTCCTACTGCTCACTGATAAGCCTTGCAAACCCCTTTTCACCTGTGACTGGTGCTGAAAGACACCCCATACCAGGATTTTTAATGGCCTTGGTTATAAAGTAGTTTTTTGGCTCCTTAAAGCAGCAGAGCTGCTTAGAAATGGCAGATGCTGGTCTGCTTACCTGTGCATTGGGTGTTGCTAAGTCTGTGTCTCAGAGTCTGGGTAACAAAAACCAATCTCCTAAGGTGTTCGTGAGAGGACAAAAAAGCCCTCCTTATTGTAAGGCCTAACCCATTCACCAGAAAAGCTCCTTTCTCTCCTAACAAAGCGATGGACGCTGCGGTGCTGCCATGGCGTCCTGTCCTAAGGGGACATTCTCCAGGGCAGAAGGACCCCCTGACCAGGAAAGACATATCCCTGTTTTATGGGCTTTTGTCCATCTTCCCTTGCCCATTTGAATGTCTCAAATTGGCACAAATTCCCAGTTCCTGGCAGTCCCTGGGTCAGAAGCTTCACAAGACAAGAGTTTGCATCCGAACGGTCTTGCTCGGCAGCCAGCAGTCGCTGGCTTGTCTGGCTCCCTGTTGAACCCAGCTGGGCTGCTGTCCCCACGGCTGTGTCTGCGGGATGATTACAACCTGCAGAAAAAGGCCTTTTTTTTGTTTGCGCTGAACCTGTTTCTGGAGAATTTAATTTGATACCCACTAGTCCTTGTGTGGGGAGAAGCAGAGAAGACATTGTCAGTTTGCCCTGCCTTTCTAGATCTTCAGCAACCCCTCTTCAGTTTTTTTTCCTAAAGAAATCAGCAAATGTGTCTGAGGGCCTGTTACTCCTCTGTGGTGTTGAGGTTATTTTCCCTGTGTGTGCTAGTGAGCACACAGAAGCAGAAGTAGGGAGGTCCTATGGAGTAAAGCGGGCGGGTGATTAGGACAGTGAGGGTCCCACGAAATTCCAGGCTGTGGCAGTGACAGACCAGCACGGGTGAATTCTGCATGGGCTCATGAGCATGGGGCTGCCCCGCTGGGCATGTGGGCAGCAGGGTTTCTGTAGGAACCTTTGCTGCAGCCATAGCATAGCCAGAGTGTTGGCCAGTGCCTGGCACTTGTCTGGCTGCGGTGTCTGCAGTGGCCGCGCTGCCCAGAGCACAAGAGCCTGCAGAAGGTGGCCCTCCCTGCCAGGATGGGCTCTTCCACCATGGTGTGAAGCCTTGATTCATACTGGGGTGAAAAGCAAGTGTTGGGTATGGAAATCAGCAGTCTGGGGTGTCAGCGAAGCAGGGGTGATGGGAAGGGCTCAGGTTTTGAACAGTAGTCTGCCGTGGAGAGACAGCCGGCAGATTGTAGCACTGGGATGAACCTCCTGCTCTGAGCAGAGAGACAAGGGTTTAACACAACGTGCGGCAGGAGATCTGGGCTTTTTGCCACGTTGCCATGCCTCGTTTGTCCAGGGGAGAAGCTCCCTTTCCCTGCAGGTGGCTGGATGGAGAAGCATGCTGTGCCTAGGTCTGCCCAGTCTTGCTCTTAGCCTCAAGCCTTGGTTTGAGCTGTGGTAGAGTCAGGGGGCTGTGGGCAGCAGCCAGGGCCACATCTGCACTGCAGGCAGCACCGGACCCTGGCAGGGATGAATATGTCTGGAGATGGACATGTCCGTCCTGTGCCACAGTCTGCGGTGGTTTGGCTTAGGCAAACCACTAATGTCTCAAGCTTTGTTCTTGCAGTGGGAAAGCAAGTCTGCTCTCAAAAAGAAATGTTAAGAAGACCGATTCAGGGAAAAGTGATGGTGCCAACTATGAGATGCCAGGATCTCCTGAAGACGTGGAGAGAAACCAGAAGATCCTTCAGTGGATCATAGAAGGAGAGAAGGAGATCAGCAGGCATAAGAAAACAAACCACGGGTAAGGGCTGGCAGAGCGACAGGTCTTCATACTGTTGTACTGCATCCCCTGTACAAGACTGGGCAGCAGCATGCCTTGTTTCTGGAGACCTTGGGAAGACAAGAATCCACCAGGCACAAGGGGTTAGACCCTTTGGAGACTGAGCATAGCTTGGGGGCTGTAAGGGCTGGGTTTTTTTTCCAAAGGATGACTTGTGGCCCTGGGGGAAGGTTGCAGCCCCAGGGAGAATCTCGCAAAGTGCTGCTGTGACTCCAAGGTGGACAACACAGCCCACAGTAGGCAGCATTTTTCCCTTAAGCATTTGCTGTATATTAACGCATGATACTTGTGCAAGGTGCTAATAAAAACATAGGACCTGCGACACTGGAGCCATGGATCCTGAGTAAGCAGTGTAGGGCTGCTGGCTTGTTGGGAGCATCCTCTGGGATCCTAGAGTGGAGCCAAGGACACAGCTGTCTCGGAAATCTCTCTGGAGTCAGGCAGATCTCCTCAGACACAGATCTTTAATTGCAGCCTAGTTAGTCTCTGGCAAAAAAGCAACGCTTGTAGGGTATTGAGAGGGGTCTTGCCCCTGCTGATGAGTGAAACTGCTGGTGGTTTCTTCTCTTGGTGGCAGAGGCCAGCGTGGATTGCACTGCAGGCAGGTGAGGCTGAGCAGCAGAGCCATGGGCAGTGCCAGGCCACCATGAAGTCAGGCAGCAGCAGGTTCTGCTGCTGGAGCTGGGAAAGGACGAGCACATCCTTGCAACGTCCCCTTCCCTGGAGATGCCGACCAGTGACTCATGGAGAGGCTCCCAGCCTGGGAATGTCGGCACGACACGGGAGGACATCTTCTGGGGGAATGTCACAAATGGTGGAGCTGCCTTTTGGTGGTTTTATTTTTATGTATTTTGGACTTTTATGAGAGTCCTTAAACAGATCTGTGGGCATTGTGTCAGGGCTGGGTTGCTCACCCTGATGTCTCAGGACTTGCTGTCCTTAAATCCCCACTAGAGGTGGATGCTGCTTCTCTCTCCATCAGAAGCCATGCTGTAAGGAGCTTCCCAGTGGTGCCCTTGACCAGCTGCAGCAGCAGTAGGTCCCTCTAGGAGTGACTGTGTGCCTGTGCAAAGCAGCTCGACTGTCCATGTAAAACCTTTGTGTTTGTGTGTAGCTCTTCAGGTGCTAAGAAGCAGCTGTGCCATGATATGGTCCGACCCCTCTCCATTGAGCGGCCTGTTGCGGTGCATCCGTGGGTCAGTGCCCAGCTCCGGAACATCGTCCAGCCTTCTCACCCCTTCATCCAAGATCCTACCATGCCACCCAATCCAGCCCCCAACCCTCTCACCCAGCTGGAAGAAGCTCGCAGGAGGTTGGAGGAGGAGGAAAAAAGGGCTGGAAAACTTCCTGTTAAACAAAGGTACAGCAATAGTGTCTGATTGTGGGTGGAAGGGGGATACTGCTCTGAAGGTGGGCAGCTGAGGGAGATGTCCACTGCCCTCTGCCCTGGCATCCAACACCAACTGGATGGAGGCCCATGCAGAGTGGTCAGAGAAATCTGCATCAGTCCCTCAAATGCCAAAACCCACCTGGAGGGTCTGGCCTTGTGGTCTGTGGATGGAGAGGCTGGAAATGCTCTTGGAAGGATGGGAAGGGGCTGCTGAGAGCTTGAGAAGCTGGGCAGGAGGAGTGTGTCTAGAAGGGGCAAGGTGTGTGAGAGCTCTCGCCCCCAGTACTCACCGACTCTCGCTCCTTCACATTCACACAATGATTTAAAAGGTTGGTGTAGTAGCAGAATTCAGTGCAGAAGAAGAATATGGATTTGCTCTCTAGCTACACCTCCTGCAGGCTTCCAGCAAAGGCTGTTCGTGGCATCTGGATGGGAGCTGCAACAGCACTGACTTGCTGCATGGCCCTGCGCAAGTCTCTGCACCTTCTTGTGACTCAGCTGCCTGTTGCAGAGCTAATTGTCTGCTTCTGGGTTATCTTCCCAGGCAGATTATTTGCAAAGCACATGGAGCTCTCAGATGAAAAGCATTTTGGAGGTACTAGATAATTACTGTTAACAGCTAAAAGCACTTTGTCCATTAAAAACCTTTCACAGCTTTATAGCTGTATTCCGAAAACTTGAAACTTAGCAGTCTGACTCTTAGAAACAGGAATGTAATTTAAAAAAGAAGCTCTTGTAATTGCCAAGCTCCAATTATCTTCGCATACACTGACCATGTAGCAGACTTCTGCATATTTATGTCAGAGCCTTGATTGAAAGGCAGGTAATTAGAGGGCTCTCCCAAGTCAGGTTAAGCCAAGTTTATTTGATCTACCTTTCAGTTGGTGTGATTGGATAGAGTTTATTAGCAGAGTCCTTTATAGTCATACTAAATTCATGCACCTTTCCCAGAAATGTCTAGATGCAAGTACACACTTTGGAAACACCAACCTGGGCTATATGCATATGCAGTTAATAGCCTAATAATAATTGGGCATGCATTGTAAGCGTAGCTTTTGTAGAAACCCCACGACATTGTGGTAAATGCCATGCAGACCAGTGGGAAAACAGCCTGAGCAGTCCCAGTGCTGGGCTGCTTTCCTTAGGCTGCCTCCCATGAGGTCTGGCTCTTCTCCTGAGAATGCAGGGATCCCCTGGCCTGCCCCGTCTATGGAAAACCATGGAGCTGTGTTTGTGAGTGGAAACTGCACGTGAAAAGCAAATGCAGCCATGTCCAGCAGCAGGCAGGAATGGATGCAGCAGCCCGCAGGGAGCCAGGGATTTCTGGGTGTTGAAATCTCTCTGCTGGGTTTTGGCAGGATTGGGTGCTCCAGCTGAAACACTCCTGAGCTAGCAGCTTTGCAGACAGCTCCTGCTGTGGTTAGCACAGGAGCCTCCCCGAAAGTAGACTCCGAGTCTCTTCTGAGAGGGGGCTGCCCAAAGCTGGCTGGGGAGCTAAGGAGAAACAGAGAGAGGAGTGAATGTGAAAACACTGTTTGTTTCAGTCAGGAGCTCCAGGGAGCGCTGAGAAATTGGATCCTGTTTCCAGGTTTGTCAACAGCCCTGGGGAGGCTATGGTGGAGGTGAGCCTGGAGGTGCCCTCTTGAGGCACCAACCTGAGCTGGCTGTGGGAGGAGAGCGCACCGTGCCAGCTCTGTGTGGCCATGCTGGCCTTGCCCGTGCAGTTACCAGCCTCACCAGCCGCTCCTCCAGCACAGCCCTGGCCAGCAGTGGCCTTCCCCAGGTACCTGCCTGCCTGCTGCTCTGCTGGGAGTGCCAGCAGCCCCTCTCCCACCCCAGCACTGCCCTGAGAGAAATAAAGGAGGCACCTGCAGTGTCTGTACTGGGAATCATAAATATGAGATGGCTGCTGTTATCAGGTAATGCAGGATTCAGTGTCTGGTACTGAATGACCTGCAGGTCGGTCCAGTGTGCCCAGCATTTGTATCAGGTTTCTTGCATGTACAGATGGGTTTTGAGCCATTTTCTGTAGCTCAGTGTCACAGTTCACTTATGTTTGCAGCTGGATGAAGTAACCACGAGCTCTTTAGGGAAAAGGTTTTTGCAGGCAGCAGGAACATTAACATGAGCTCAGTTTAGAATGAATTGGGTTGGGCCAAGCCTGGAACTGGAGCAGAGCTGGCCACTGAGACACCTCCCAAGGTAATATCTGCTGGATGCATTTCAGGCTTTCCAAAGCTCTCCAGCCCCAGGGCTGAGCTGAAGCAAACTGGGTGCCTCGCCTCTGCATCGCAGCAAGGTTGGGTTGGTGCTGTAACCCAGCCTGAGCTTCCCTGTCACAGCACTGCTGGGCTATACAGCTAAGAAATCAGGACTGAAATGTAGATGCAGTTAAGTCAGATGAGTGCTGCTGTTTCCTTACTGGAGAACATTTTGTGCCTGTGACAAATGCAGCACAGGGAGGTGATCCCAGAAGGGACAGGGTGGTGGTACCTGCCTGTGCTTCTGGGTTACGCTGCTGCCCAGGGGATGGGTGCAGGTGGAAGCCTTAATGAGGCAGGGCTCAGGAACGGTCTGGTGGCGTCTCTGGGTAAGCCGTGATCTTGGGAGATCTCTTGGCGATGACGACAGCAGAGGCAGTTGTGTTGTCTTATTCTCCTGAGAGGAGCTCTTGGAAAATTACATTTTCAGTGATTCTGTATTCATCAAATCTGCTCCAGCCTGCTAGAGAGAGATGCATGGCTGCAGGGTGGGATGTGCATGTGTGTGTTCTGCTCCTGGCCAGCCAGTCCCGCTCCACAGCCTTCTTCAGCCCTGGGAGCACCACAGCCATCCACCCGGGCTTCAATTTATGGCAAAAGTGAGGGCATCTAAAGCCATGGGGGTTGTTTTTAACTTTAGCTCAGTGGAGCAGTGCAGGGTTTCTGCTTTTGGGCATCATTTTCAGGCACATCTCTGCTCTGGAAAGAGGTGAGCACAGGAGCCAGGCTGAGCACATTCAGAAATGGCCTTTCAGGTGTTATTTGTGTGGCAGGAGGAGCAAGAGGCCTCCTCTCGGGAGGAGGGCTCCCAGCCCCCAGCACAGTCTCCTTCTTGCTTCTGCTGCAGCAGAGCTCGATGGGTTCCTCTCCATCTCCCCAGGCGAAGGAGAACGGCCGCCTCAGGGGATCTGGCTTTGCTGCCTGCGCAGGGCACGTTGCTGTGTCCCCAGGTCCCCAGGCGCCAGCAGCTCTCTCTTAGTCACAACTTGTTTCTAGCAGGATTGAGAGGAGCTTAGGGACTGTGAGTTTTTCCAAACCCCTTCAATTAACTTCTGGCTCAGAGGGTTCACAGAATTTGCCTGAATTTATGACCCATTTTTCCTTTAAATGCCTCCTTTTTTTTTTGAGGATGACTCATTTCCTTAATGTTTTTCTAGCTAAAGGGCATCCTGTGCTTTGATATGGGGATGGGAGAGGCTCGGAGAGCTCTGCTGGCACCAGGAGTGAACCTCGCCTCTCAGAAGGCTGCATCTTCTCCAAAGGTCTCCCAGGCAGAGCAGGCACCAGGAAGGTTGTTGAGATGAACTTTAGACCTCTCACACTGTAGAAAGAGGTGAAAAGACTGTGTCTGGTCTTGGTTTGCAATGCTGATGTTTACGTGGGCATGGCTTTAAAAAGGTGCTCTGCCCGCAAGCCAATGTTTAAAGGTTAGGGTCAGAGTCATTTCCAAAACTGCGATTACTTCATGTGCTTGGCAGATTCTGTTTTTTATACCAACTTTCCAGTCGTGTAAATACAAAATCATCTTTTTTATCCAGCATGCTTTTTAAATAATTTTTTTGAAGCTGCCAGATTTGTTTTATGTGACTTTGAAAGAGGAGGCTGCCTCTGGCTTCGACCACACATGCCAAGTTACCAATTTGTGTAGGCTGCTCCAGTGTTTGTGCAGTATTTACAGCACCCCAGATGAAAGGCTCTACAGAAGGGTAAAGTGCCCTGATTTTTGGTATTGCTACTTTTGTCTGCCTCTGAAAATGGGGTTAGGACTGGGCTGACGCTTTCGGTCTAGCAATGGCACCACATAGCACTACCCCGGTGTGTGGGCTGGGAGCAGAGACCAGACCAACATCCTGAGAGTCAGGAAAACGCAGGAGGTGTAAAGTCACTGAGGTTTTGGGGGTGGTGGCCGCCTTGCCACCATTTCCGGATGGGATGGGCAGCAGAGCCTCCAGGGCACATCCCACTGGGAGCTCCAGCCCCTCCAACCTCCATCTGTGCTGGGAGAGGTGCCCGGGGGAGCAGGAGCAGTGCTGTCTGCGCAGCCCTGCGGATGTAGGTCAGCGGAAAGCCGCGCTGAGCTACTTTGGCCGCAGCAGCCATAATCCGGAGTAGTCTGAGCGGTGTTTGCATTATTGTCCCTGAGCGTGCATCCAGCCCCATGTGCTTGATGCATGCCAGCAACGTGCTTATGGTGACCTGGGTCTGCTGCCATGGGCCTGTGATGCTCTGCCTTGCCCAGAGCTTACCAATGGCTCCCTGAGGCGGTGGTGCTGCAGGGCCATCCCCTCTCAAATCCCAAGGATGGGTTTCTTCAGCACACAGGGGCTGAGCTAGAACCTGCACCCCCCTTGTAGCTGCAGTCTGGCCCTATCCAGCCTTTCCAAGCGCCCTTGCTCCTTCACTGGCCTTGGCACGCAGCTGCAGGCCAGGAGAGCTGGTGCTTGGAGCAAAGGATGCTCCTGAGGGCCCTGGGTGCTAATTCGACGTCTCTGTCTCTGCAGATCCGGACAGTCGGGCCTGCCCGCACTGATGGTGGGCTGATGCTTAGCAGGTCACTTGTGTTTTTGCACGGCAGGTTGAAGCCCCAGAAGAGACCAGGCAGTGGTGCGTCCCAGCCATGTGAGAACATTGTGGTCGCCTACTACTTCTGCGGAGAGCCGATCCCTTACCGCACCCTCGTCAAAGGGCGCGTGGTGACACTGGGACAGTTCAAGGAGCTGCTGACCAAGAAAGGGAACTACAGGTAAGGGGGCTGCTCTCCGCATGCGGTGCGGTGCCAGCAGACTGCCAGTGACCCCCGGCAGACGCCAGTCCCAGGGCACAGCAGTGTTGCCCCAGCCAAGGCGAAGGAGTGTGGTGGAGCCTTCCAGGTCTCCCACAGGACATGAGCAGTGGGGATGTGGCAGCATGGTCAAGGGACCTTGGCTGTTACAGAGACAGGAGAGATTGAGTTTTGTACCAGAAATGCCCTTCAACGGAAGCTGATGAGCAATCCCTTGCAGGGTCCTGGGCTGGTGAGGAGCAGCATCCGCCAGTGCTCAGTGATGCTGTGGGGAACCCTCTGACTTCCAGAGCCATTTTGGCTCCTCCCAAACTTTCTTCCAGGAAGGACAGGGAGATTTGGTCCTGCTGAAGTCCCAAAGCAGCCGGGCATGGGGCATGCAGCTTTCCAAGTAGGAGCCACCATGAGAAATCCTGCCTAGGAATGCTCCACCAACATGGGTGCCTCCAGCCACTGCTTTTGGGAGAGCTCTGATCGGGCTTGGATTCAGGGCTGGAGCTCCTGAATGTGCCAGCATGGATCCTGAACACTTCTTTCCTCGTTGGGTGAGGACAGGAGCAAAAACATGGCCCCAGTTGCCTCCACATCAGAGGGAGCTGCTGCCCATGCACCACGAGCTCAGGGGCATAGAAGGGCTGTGCTGAGGTTTGAGGACTGTGATGCCCTCCTAACCACTGACCAGCTTTTTTCCTCTCTTCCCTCATGTTTCTGGTTTTTCAGGTATTACTTTAAGAAAGTGAGTGACGAGTTCGACTGCGGTGTGGTCTTCGAGGAGGTGCGAGAGGATGACACCATCCTGCCCATCTTCGAAGAGAAGATCATCGGGAAGGTGGAGAAGATTGACTAAGCTCCAGGGCTGCTGCAGCGTGAGGACGGGACTGTGAAAGACTCTGGGACCGGAGGAGAGGGCCTGGGGCAGACGCTGGCTACTGCTGCAGGCACCAGGTGAGCCCAGGGCAGAGGGCATCCGCCTGCTCCAGCACGGACCTGGGCCAGCTCCGGGTCACCGGTGGACGTCGTTTCACCCATGAACCTGCCAGTGGGAGCCCAGGCTCCCTCTCCATACAGAATATAAGTGTAATGTAGCATTGTACAGTGCATTAGAAAGTGTAATATGACCTTGTTTACTAAAGCTGCATATTTTTGATATATTGTAATAAAAGGAAAATATTTCCAATGTCACAGTGCTCTTATGTAAATGTAAAACATACAGGTACTGCAGAACTCGCCCAAAGGGTACAGCCAGATGCTGTCTGCTCCTCACTTTCACGGCTCCCTGCCCCAGCCCCCGGTGTGGATGGCTTTGGAGCGCTGTTGGGGCAGAGCCGCTCTCCCCGGCTCTGGAAGGGACTGTGGTCCCTGCCCACCCCTGGAGATTACTGAGCCGTGTGGAACAAGTTGGTCTCTCCCTTCCCTGGCAGTCTCAGCTGCTGGACATGGTAGGATGGTTTTTTTTCCCCATCCTGAGCTTTCTTGTGACTGAGTAAATCCCCAAGGGATAGAAGGGTCGGTGCCAGCTCTCCGGGCTGAGTGCTTTCCCCGCTGCAAGGACCCATGGCAGCAGGCTGGGGGCTGGCATCCCCCGGCCCATGTGCTCATCTTCCCCCATGCCCCCTGCCCTGGAGAAGGGTTCACCCCCCAGGAAGGCGCTGCAGCACCGCAGAGGACTGGCACCTGCGTGCCTAGCGCAGACGTACCAAGCCCTGGCTTTGGTGAGGGAACTCTTTATTTTTTTAAGGAGAAACTTATTAGGGGAGGGAACTGATGAGACCCTAAGTCTGAGGCAAAGAAACATCTTTTATGACTCCTGTGTCTTTTGTTGTCTTCTGTGTCTCGGAGGCTCAGTGTGAGGGCACTGCAGCCTGCTCTGGGGAGCCAAGGGAGGTTGATGCCAGTTAGTGGAGCTCGTG